CCCCAAAACCCCAAAACCCCAAAACCCCAAAACCCCAAAACCCCAATATTTGATACAGTTATTGATTTTTAATTTTAAGATGATCTCATCAAGCCTTTTAAAGACATCAAGAAGAGCCCCTAAAAGATTCTTTGGTACTACTAACCAGAAAGAGACTGAAAGAAACAACAAATACCTTGCTAGAACTTACAATGTGTGGGATACTGTTATCAGTAAAGCATATGGAGTTTGGATGGAAGACGTAGAAGGAAATAAACTACTTGATTTCCATTCTGGCTACTGATGTACTAACCAAGGTCATAGTCATCCAAAGATTCTCCAAGCATTGTATGACCAGTCTAAGAAGCTCATCATGTGTAGTAGAGCATTCAACACAGATATTTCAGGAGAGTACGCTGAGTTTATCAATAAGACTTTTGGATATGACAAATATATTCCAATGAACTCAGGATCCGAAGCCTGTGAGACTGCTATAAAGCTTGCTAGAAGATGGGGAGTCAGAGTAAAAGGAGTTGACAACGATAAGGCCACCATAATTACTGCCAGAAAGTGCTTCTGGGGAAGAACCATTGGTGGAATGAGTGGATGCGATGATCCATTAAGATACGAAGACTTTGGTCCGCTTTGCCCTGGATTCGACATGGTTCCTTTTAATGATGCTGAAGCTCTAGAGGAAAAGTTCAAAGAGAACCCAAACATTGTAGGATTCATGGTTGAACCAATCCAAGGTGAGGCAGGAATCATAGTCCCAGATGACGATTACTTGCAGAAGGTCCAAGCCCTTTGTAAGAAGTACAATGTGCTGTTCATTGCAGATGAAGTGCAATCAGGAATTGGTAGGACTGGATATATGCTTGCTCATCATTTTGAGAAAAGCGTAAGACCAGACATTGTGATATTGGCCAAGGCTATCAGTGGAGGTGTAGTCCCATTCAGTATCACTCTTGCTGACAGTCATATCATTGACCACGTTGGTATGGGTCAACACGGAAGTACTTATGGAGGATACTCTTTAGGATGCGCAGTCTCTAAAGCTGCTATTGAAGTAATCATCGAAGAGGATCTTTGTGAGAAATCCAAAGTAAACGGAGCATTCTTCAAGGGAGAACTCGAGAAGATCGATAGTCCACTTGTCAAAGAAATCAGAGGAAGAGGTCTCTGGAATTCTTTAGAGATCACGAAGACTGGTTTAGGAAAAGACTTTGCCGAAGCCCTTGCTAGAAATGGCTTAGCCTGTAAGAACACCCAGGATACGACTATCAGGCTAGCTCCACCTCTTATTATTGAGAGACCTGAATTGGAGCAAGCTCTAGATATCATTGAGAAGACAGTCAAAGAATTCGAATAACTTTTATTCCTAAATGATGATAATGTTCACAACCTGCTCTTATAAATCTCAATGTTAGTGTGAAGAAAAGGGGTTTTGGGGTTTTGGGGTTTTGGGGTTTTGGGG